AAACCATGCCTTTGCATTAAAGAATTGATATCATTTTCAGGTAGATTAGATTTGGCACTTATTCCTATATCCTGAGATATTTATAAATAAGAAGTCCTTCAAATGGACATTGTTGAGAAAGTTCAATTGACTAACTTTAAATGGAGATATATTAGAGAGATTACTATTTAATCACAATAGTTTATATTTAACTCATAGCAAATATAAATACTTATTTTTGTTTAAATTGTTCTTGTTTCACTTTTAATATTATTGGTACATTTAACAAAACAAAAAATTGATCTCTTTTTAATTGCAGTGTATCTTCAATTTTTATCATTCCAAAATTCTTTTACCATAGAATTGTAATTTATTATTATTATTAATTTGTTAGTATCAGAAGAATCTTATAGTTTTAAAAGGTTAAATTATAACTCATTATTTAGAGTTCACAGTTAGTCACTGATATTCTTACTCATTAGAAGTAAGTTAAACTGATTAAATTTAACAGGAATACAGATGACATGCATCATTCTTTTTTGGGAGCAAAAGTTGATGAGAATGATTTATTTTCTCTTCAGTTGATAAATTATTCTAGAATTCTTGTAAAGAATATGGAGTATATAATGAATAGTTTTTTTTTTATACGTCTGTTCTTTACTTTATTCGAAATTCAATCTTTTTAAAATAATATATAAATATTTTTATGGTACCTTAAAATACAATCTTATTTTTAAATAAATGCAAGTGTTTGAAAAATGTTTATTATATTTAATTTTAAAATTATTCATATTGGTTTCACTTGTAAATTGAATCTGGCATTTTAAACTTTTTTTTTTTGAATTTGGTTTTGGTTCTTGATAGCTTTTTTTAAAATCATGCAGGAATCAAAAGCAGCAAATGTGACAAATTAGAAATAAAGGAAATATGAAATCAAATTGTCTTCAACTCATTGTAGACACTTGCTTCATCTCTCAAGTTTTATCATTGTAGAGACATTGCAATAAGTAGTTTTAGTGGAATTTTTCATTGGACAGACAAAATGGTGTATGAAAAAAAAAAAACATTACCACAGAGCTTTCTTTTATGTCAGGTTTTAGTTTTTGTCATGTAGGCCACCACATATGGGGTGGCTACTAGCTGCTGCCAAATATTCTCCCCTACAGAGATGTATATGTAACAGATATTTGTAGAAGATGGTAGGTATGTAGATGCACATAGTAGTGCATATGGGCCATAACTACCAGTTACTACCATCCCATCTCTTGTTCAGGTGTATTCCTCTTGTAGTTCTGTACAAACTTCCTCTCTTGTTTTATATTTCTCACAGATCACAATATTCTTCACTCTTGGATTAAAATGTAAGATATTTTCTCTTCTCTTTGATTTTTAGAAAAATCTTTTAAAAAAAATACAAATTTTGTTTCCTACTCAGTATTGTTTTATTTTTGTTTATTAGTTATTTTGGATAAACAATTATTACTGGCTTGGTTGTAATCTAAGACATGAAACAAAGTATGGCAGTGAGGAAATAAAAGAATAAAAAAGAAAAAGAAAGCTTGGGAACAAATAACAAAAAGAAACATAAACACAAATATTTCCAAAAGAGGCACATACCTGGATTATAGATTCTCTGGAAAAGAGAAGTGTGATGGCTTTTGATTATTATATTATCGTGGGAAATTTCCTAAAAGATTATCCATAAAGAATTTGTAAATTCCATAATCAGGAACCAAGTTGACTAATGTTATATGATAATCTTGGTAAAGTATTCTAATTGCATAAACACTTCTGGTAACTGTTTATTATATTGATCACCACAAAATAAGTTCATTCTCAGATTAAAGAAACCATTAAATAATGTTTCCAACACTTTCAGTTTAGAAAGAAATAAGTGTTATTTACTCCATATAAATTGATGAAATGATAAAAATGAGAACAGATCAAACAAAAAGTGATATATAAGTAAGATATTGAATGCTATGGTCATTTATAAAATATTGATTGATTGTACTTGCAAAGAGTTTATTTTAGAAATTTGCCTTGGGAATCTAAATACTGTATTTTAAGGAAGGTCATGTTTGTTTGAAATCTGTATTATGGTCATACCCTATATTTTAAGAATAAATTTTTAACTGGAGAACAAATAACAAGAACTTATTGGATGATACAAAACAAATCTTGCTCTTTTGTTCAGTTTCTATAACTATACAAAATCAACTTATTGTATTTTTATACATTTATGTCTGACAAAAATAAAATAACTTGGTTTGTTCAGTTGTAAAGGAAAATACAAGCGAAGATAGTTGTAATGTGATGGATTCAAAAATTCTTGTTAGGAGTATAGTAATTTTTATCTGGTATCAACTGTCAGTGTTCAAATTTCAAAATGTTCACCTTTTTTTTTTTCTCAGGTAATCAGGTTATTTATTTCACTTTGAGGAGTTTACTGTTTAACAAATTCCTTAATCCCAGGCAGTCAACACTTATATAGTAGACCTGTTCATTTTTATTAATACTATATATCTGTCATTTTAAATGTGTATGTGTTTTTCTTTATATTGTATCTTCTCATACAATTTTGTCTTCTTTTACAGCTCCTTCAGCAAAATTCTCTATATTTGCCATGCTGTTTATAATTTATTTAATATTTCTAACTAAAAGGGGGTTGTGTATATTGTAGCTGATTTTATGCAATTGCATATATTGGATTTATATTTACAACATAAACATTTCTGTTATTACATGGATGGGAAATTTCTGTAAAAAAAGATTATGAATTTAAAGTATTAAAAAACAGGAAAATTTTATTAAAAACAATGAAAAAAGTACTGAACTGTAATAGGAGTACCAATGTAATATTGGTACTCCTATATGGCAGTGGATACTGGACAATCATTACAGATATAGAAAAGACTTGAAGCAATAGGAATGTGGTTCTACAGAAGGATGCTGAGAATACCATGGACTGAACATGTGAGCAACAACAGTTTTAGAGAAAATGGAAACAATATGTTATACATAATATCAGAAAAAGGCAGTTAAAATTTCTAGGGCACATAATGCAGGAAGAAGGCTTGGAAAGTTTGACACCCACCACCCTACCAAGCTTGTGAAAATGGATGGCAGAATAGATTTTAGGTGAGATAGAATAATGACAAAATTTACTAAGTGCTACAAAAGACAGGAAATTGTGGAGAGCCATGATACCCAACATCCTGAAGAGGCATGGCACATAGAAAATGAATTTACTTACCTCAAAAATTTTCACTGTGCAAATATTCAGCTTAAAAGTATATATATGTGTGTGTGTGTGTGTGTGCGTGTATATATATATATATATATATCTAGGTCTGCTCTATTTTTGTATTGAGCACTTTTTTAGTTAGTTGATTACTTGTATCAGGGTTTTTTTTTGATTGTGCTTAGGACCTGTATGCTGTACAATTATTTTCGACAGACGGTCATGTTCCTAGGTTTTTCTTTTTTTAAAACCTTTTTTTCCTTCAAAATTAATTTGATCATTAGCAAATCAAGAAACCAAAGGTTTTCCAAGATGAGTGTAGTTACCTATATATATATATATATATAATGTTCATCTGACTAGCATGACTGCCAGTTTTGCATGCCTAGGTAAAAGATTACTAAGGGAGATTGTAGGGGCATAAGTGTTGGGGGAATAGATGCACATACATACAATAGGTAATAGTTGACCCTAGACTTGAAGAGATTAAGATTGAAGTGTTCAGGAAAGTATCCTCTCAGAAGTCTGTTCCATAATGTAATGGCTCTTGGGAAGATGTTCAAATGGGACTCCTTTCTTACCAACTGAATGCAAAGGGAATGAGTTTGATTCACCCCCTGTTTACAAGTTAGTGCATGTCTTAGTTGTAAAGGTCTGAATTGGTAAAACTAGGGAATGTAGCTCATCAGAATATTTTCCATGGAAATAGCAAAAGAGTAGCAAGAGGCATTTGACGTTGTGTCTGTGGGGAAAGGGATTGTAGTGTGGAAAATTAATTCATCACTCTATAAACATTTCTAAATTCTGTTGAAGCTGAAAAGAGAGGATTGTACAGCTCCAGCCTGGATATAGCAGCAATAATCTATTTTTGGTCTGTCTGATTTGTTTGTTTGTATGTGTGTACATAAAATTATGATGTCTAATTTTAGAAGTAAACATTTTTATCTTGGGTAAACTTCTCCTGTATCTTGTCATTCATCATGTCATATAAAGAATACTTCTAAATCTTTATAGGAATTGATGATTAGATGTACAAAAAAATTCAAATTTTGATTTTCAGTATAATTTTTGAAATGATATGATTTTTGCTACTTAATACAGTGAAACATTGGTTCACAAATTTAATTAGTTCCTGAAGGCTGTTTGTGACCCAAAATGTTTGTAAACTGAAACTATTTTCCCCATGGGAATTGATCGATTAATCCATTCCTGGACCCCAGATTGTTGCTTATTTAAACTTTTACAACAATACTTTGTGCACAAGTTCATACATGAAACCAATGAAAATCATTAAACCTAACACAAAAAAAAAAAGATGAACACAATACTAATCAGATAAAATATAAACGAAAACTTAATTTAATTTTACCATAGCTTTATGGAGGGGGGGTGATGACTTAAGTGAAAATTGAGAGATGGGAATTCTTGTCCATAAAAACATGTATGGAATGAAATCTACACCGCAACTGACACTCTCCTGCAAATATTTCTGGTTTGTCACTCCATATTGTCACTGGCTTGCATGTTTGTCACTCCAGACACCAATTGTCACCTGAGACTTTTCTTTTTTGTTTGTGAACTGATTTGGTGGTGATGATTGGTGTTTGTGAGAGATGTTCCTCAATATAAGGAAATTTAAAATTTTTCAGTCTTATATTTTAACATTCTAAAAATGAACTCTTAAGTTTGATTGAAATGAATATAAAACTGAGAAGGTTATTCTTTGTCGTGCATCAATTGAGAACTGTAAATTAAATTTCCTTTCATTTTCCCTCAGCTTTAAATATGGTTCTGAAGATGACAACTCCAGTATAACGTCAGGTTCTGGATTTGGTGCTCAGAGCAGTCCACACTCAGCTTCTCAAAACATGGCTCAGCAACAGCAGCAGCAGCAACATCAGGGCTTGCCCTCATCATGCATGCAGGTGCCCTCTCTGGGTAGCCAGCACCCAACTTTCAATATTGATTATCGTTTTCTTGAACAGCGAGACACATTAGAAAAACTCCAGGACAAAATCCATCGACTTGCAGATGAATTTGAGGTCTACAAAGTTGAGGTATGTAAACTGAGTCCTAATAAATAAACATTTATTTTACAGGAACCTTCATTATATATGATTTATATTAAATTCTTTTAAATGTGTGATATTTGAGTCTATAACCTTTGATCTTTTTCTGCACATTGTAATAAAGAGTTTTAAAAGATTGTTAAAAAAACTTTGAAATTTAAAAGAAAAAAATTGTTTAGAAATACAAATAATTACTATAGCCATGTTTTTTTTTTTTTTTTTTTTTTTTTAAGCCAAACTTGATATTGTATTTAAACAAATTCAGTCACTGGTAATCATGGCCTATTATCTGGAATATAATTTAAAAAAGAAAACATTTTTACTGTGAAATTTATCTTACTTATGGATTAGAGTTCTTTAATTCATAACAGATGATATAAGTAATTACTTATTTGTACCTTTTAAACTCTCAAATCAAACTAATCTGACTTTTGAGCTTTGCATTTGTTCTCACCTTGTCATATAGTGAAGTATTAACTTGACTAATGTTTTTGTCTAAAGCAAGAACTAAAGTTTTTCACATGCACCATTCTAAGATTAGAATAGTTAAAAAAGACAAAAAAGATAATGTTAAGATTGTAATATTTCTCAAACATATGATTTCTATCGATACACTTAACATGCAAGTGTATACACTTATACACTAAACTTGCTCATGCATATACTTACACACTAAACCTGCATGTGTATACACTTAGTAACTGAATCTGCACGTGTATAGCATTTATACATTTAGTAACTAAACATAATTTCTGTCCAGGCCCACATGACATTTTTAAATTTACTGATATCAACATAATCTCGTAAGTACAAGAAAATCATTTCCTTCCCCTACGTTTTTTGTTATTTTCATCTCAAAGTTCTGCCAATTTATGTGATTTTCCACCTAACTGGGATTTAATGTTTGATGATTATTATCATGTTGAAAAGAAAATCTCAATGGAAACTAATTTCTTTGGCATCTTCTCTCAACAGCGATAAGTAGAGGCCAGAAGTAATTATTTAATAGTGAATTTAAAATAATAAAAATTACGTTTGTTTATAAATTTGATTGTTCTAAGCTACTTTTTGCTTTTGGGAAGCTTTTTTAAAATCTTCATGCAGTATATGAGAGAAAAGGCTTTAATAAGAAAGAAAGAACTTATTTATAAATGGATTCAATTATTTTTGAAGATCATTTTTAAATATTTATATTGACTAGTTTTCAATACATTAATGATGAAGATGTAAATAATTATTTGTATATGTTGCGGAGATATATGATGCTTGGGTAAAAATAAGTCACCACTGTTGTGGGGTTTTACAGTCAATATTTATGGGCTTGTGTGTGCCTGAAAACACCATGTGTATATGTACAAGAATTCAGTTAACAGAGAACCAAGGAAATGAATGCACTCCATTGGTAACATTCTTTATCTACATTTGATTACATCTGGAAGGGACAGTAAGAAAGTGGAAGAGAGAATATGATTGACTTTTTATAGACTTAAAGAGTGCCTGCTAATGAGCATTTTTGGCAAAGCCAAGTTGGGTCACACAAGTTAGGTAACACACATATTCAAAGCTGAGACTTTGTTACGATTTAGAGAAAAAGACTAATATTTAAGAAAAATAAAAGGTTAATTTTAAACTTTATTCTAAACTGATAATAAGTATATAATGAATATCTAAATATAGCACCTCACTATAAATGACTTGTGAATGATGAACTTATTAGCAAAATTTAATTGCTCATATGAAGTCAACTTTGCAACCAAAATGGTTTGGGTGCTTTCTTGATTTCTGTCCTAAAGAGTGTTAAACTTCCAGGTTTAAATAAACCCCAATATTCCTAAGAAAAACTTCAACTTAGAAATCATTGAATGATACCATTTTCATTCCATATTTATATTTTACCTATCATACTACTTTGTTATAATTAATATTTGTTTCTAGGGGGAAATTATAACACACCTTTTAAACAAATGATTTTCACAAAAAGCATTCTTTTTTTTAATATTAGAAATGTTCAACATAATTCATTATCATGGGGGGGGGCAAAATTTTTAGAATTTCGCCTTAAGTTATAAAAGGCTGTCAGCGTGGTTAGTGGTAAGAACATTTAAAATTTCCAGTACCTCTAGATTGGCAGAAATCTTTGAAATAATTGACAACCATCAGGATTTTATGAAAGTTATATTCTTCCTTACTTTAAAAGTTTTTTTCTTTCTTGTATTTCTTTCTTTATTGTATTTTGTTAAAATAAAATCCTGTAAAAAGCACTCCAATTGATAAAAAATTTTGGGAAGGCAAGGCGGCCCTAATTATGCTGTAAACTGAATGGCACTTTTTTGTTTTTGTTTTGTTCAGTCAGTTATTTTAAACAAAATAAATAGACATTGAATTTTATTTAATCATTTTTTTAATATAAATTTACAAATTTAAATTTTGTATATCCAAGCTAGAAATCAATAGAAGTTATTCACTGAAAAAGTTAATATAACAAATGTTGATTTCATGTTGACCTTAAATATATAAACCACTTTCAAACCTAGGGCACCCTGCAGTACCTAATATTATCAAACTTTGTTGATTATCCATTACAGTGTCAGAAGACATGATCTATACAGATACAGTTTTTGCCCAATCTTGTTAGTCAAGTATGTGAAAAGATGACTTTGTGATAAAATCTCAACAGTCTATTTCAATAAGAAATCTTTTCATTATTCAGTCGTGTTTCCATCGTTCCCAGCTGAGGTTTATGAGTCAAGTCCACATTTTCCTCAAAAGAAATTGTAAACAGAGCAGTGAGCTTGATACTGTCATCTGATTGGTCAGTTTAAAAAAGAAAAGGTTTTGAGATGTTTCATATGTCAGGTCACTGCTCTGTTAATGTGATGTCCATTGGAAAATAAAAGCAACATTCTAAATTTACTGTAACAGTTCAATGTCCATGACTAGCAAACACTGATGATTTGCATTTTTTATTAAAATTAACCTCCAATTCTTCTACTACAAAACCTAAACCTGGTTCCAACTACATGTCATCATTATCATAAAGAACAACAAAAAAAAAAGACTTTCTTTATACCTGCCTGCTTTTTAAAATCAAAAACCAATCTTTACAAAAAAAAAATATTCAAAAATTTTAGTACTTAGGAATGAACGGCTGATTTATTTTTAATTTTGTACTTTTAAGTTAATTTATTACAATTTTATGGTCTTTTTTTTTTTACATTTAAGTTGATTTATTCTATAAAAATCAGTTATATAAGTGGGTGGTGCTTTTTAAAACCCCCATAAATAGTACTTATTTGGTTATTTACTAAAATTAGCTTAGTCTAGCACAAAGCCATAAAATTTAGAGAGCGTAGTCAGGATTGAACTCACTACAAAGTTGTAATGCTTTGTACAGAAAACCATTACTAATTGGTGAGGGACTCAAAATAGTACCCATTTTATTAAAGCTGCAGTTCTGTCATATAACTTATCATTTTAAGAAACTCTTAAATTTTATTTTGAGCATTAAGGCTGTATTTACTAAAAATAACATTCTTTTATTTTATCTTTTTTTTTCCAGTTCTTTTAAGGAATTGACTTTATATTGTAATCTTGTAACCTGGTTCAACAATCAATTTCAGTCACTGATTAGAATAACTTCATTCTGACATATTAAAAATATCTTAATCCAAATTCCTTTGTTATGGAATTAATTAGAAGGAATAGCTGAAAATTCTCTACTCATTGAAAAGAAAATCAAATGTAAATAAAATAATATTTGATCAGATTTCTATTCTTGATATTTTTATACATTTATAGTTTATATATATTAAGCCACAAAGTTTTTGAATGATTTTCAATAATGGAAAATAAATTATTTGACTTTTATATGCTGCTTTGGTTAAAATAACATTGATTATACTGTAAAAAGATGTTTGTGAGAAGTTGATGGTTCACTTAATACTCCTTAAATTGATATGTGTTAGAATTCTAATAAAAAGGAATATTGTGCTAATTTTATTTGATATAATTGGGATTTGCATCATTTTATTTTTCAGAACTCATTCCATGGAGAAATAAATGTACTCCGAAGTATGTTAGAAGAAGAACGTTATCGCAGTGAAAGGCTTGAAGAGCAACTCAATGATCTCACAGAATTACACCAGAATGAGATTACAAACATGAAACAGGTTTGAATTGTGGATTTTTAAAAAGATTTCTCTTGTTTTTGTATTTCTCAGATGACGTATTATGTACACTATTTACGTTGCTTGGACACATGGCACAGTAGATAAAGGCATTAGTTAGATCCAGTGACAGTACCCAAAGAGTTGTGAGTTCAATAAGACTGGTTAAGGAAAACTTAGAGAAGGGAATTAACAGGAGATAACTGATAACTGACATCCATTAGTCATGGAATGTGGAACTAGAACAGTCTACCCGAGTGAGCGAAATAAAGGGTTCAGTTCAACATTCCAACCACTTAAAGAAGGCCAGATCTTACAATGGCTGTAACGTTATGATGAATATGGCAACAAAGATGAGTTTGATAGTCTGAGCAATGTAAATAGTGTATTTGTCTTGTTTTTTGTTAAAATGTATTTTCTTCATAATTCCTTTTTCTTGTTTGATTAGGTGGAAATATATTTTTCCAAAATTTTCAGTTTTTAGACACTACCAAATTTTTTTTTTTTTTCAAGAATTCAATATCCAACAAATTATTAGAATTATATTTATTAAATTATTTTTTTAACTTGATTCAGAACGATATAGTTGATTGTTGAAGCATTGAAGAGAAAGCTAAAAAGACACATTATGTAGTACAAGATAAGTAAAACTTGTTATTATGGGTTAAAAGTTAGATTAAAATCAGTAAAATTTAGTACTGAAAATATAAAATACAAGACCTATTACTTTGTCATTTGCTAATCAGCATTCTTTTATCATTGATTATTATATAGCATAAATTTTTTTATTTAATAGGAAATCAGCAGCATGGAAGAGAAATTGGAATACCAATTAGAAGAACGAACTCGTGATATGCATGATCTGCTTGATAATTGCCAAACAAGGGTGAGTTTTATAGAATAGTGTCAATTTATTAGAGTTTGCTGCTTCCACAATTATTATTTGCAATTTCAACACAGATCTCAATGCTAATATATAAATTGTACATTTACAAGCTTTACAAATACCGAGGAGAGAGTGAATTTATTTTCTAGAAGAAAAAGCAGCCAACATAAGCTCATTCATAAATCTCTCAGAAAGCAGTTTTTAATTAACAATTATCAAAAAAAAAAAAAAAAAAATTCACTATACCATTAACCGCCTATATTAAAGTGGGCAAATTAAGTCACTGTAAACATTAATTTTCACCAGTACATTTAATTTTGTTCTAATTACAAGTGTGTGCAAGATGGGCTTTGTTCAAATATATTTACAAGGGAGATAACTAATATATTTAAAAGTGGAAATTTAATATTTTGACTTATTTACAAAGTGTATATTTACATATCTATTTTAAGAAGTTGATTGAAATTGTTTTGAGTTTTGCATTTTTCATTTTTCTATACTAAAATTATTCTTGTTTCACTTGCTGAAAGAAATATAACAATAAATTAAACTGTACAAACACTTAAATTGAACAACATATAAGCAATCTTCAAAATTTTATTTTTCAACTGCTCACTAAATTCTTTTAACTTCAATCATTCTGTTTCTAATAAATGTGTATAATAAATACTTAAATAAAATTTGAATCACTATAGAGTTTATCAACAAACATAAGATCAAAGGTAGGTAATCCATATCTGATTAACAGGTATTTGAAATTGATCTGTTAAACAAGTTTTACACTTGCTTCAGCTTTTCAAATAGAAGTTGGCTTACAGCCATATCATGTTGAAACAACAGTTCTTGTATGATCATCGGAGTTAAGCAACATCATACCTGGTCAGTACCTAAATGGGTGACCACTTGGGAATACCAAGTGCTGTAAGCTTGGATGTGTCAGGGTGTCAGTTTGGAATTAGAAATCAGATGACATTTGGATGACATTTGGATGACAGTTTGGAATTAGAAATCAAAAAAACTGAGTTCCAATTCCAGTCAGGTTAATTATATTCACCTTGTACAGATACTCTTGAGAAAAGTATGAATCCACTTCTCCCCCCAACTATGGGTTAATTAGTAAGACTTGTATCAGTAAATCATTATTTCAAAAAAAAAATTACTTCAATCTAAAAAAATATTTTATGGCTTTAAATAACCTGCAAATGGTTAAGCTGTAAAAAAAAAAAGAAAAAAAAAACAATTCAGTCAAACAGATGTTTTTTTTATTAGTTGAAATTATGCTTTAGTATCATTTGTTTAATGTATTTGTATTCAAAATGTTTTCTTGGTTTTAAAATGAATATTTTTGCATAGCATTATTTTTTTTTTCAGTCCCATATGATTTCTTTGCTTTTCTTTTGTGTCTTTAAGATTTCCAAAATGGAAGTTCAACAGCAGCAGCAACAGCAGCTGATCTCCATGGAAATGGTGGAAAATGTAACATTTCGCACTTTACTGACCAAGCTGATCAACGTTGTCTTAGCAATATTGGCTGTGATACTTGTGTTTGTGTCAACAGCGGCCAACCTTGTTGCACCTTTCCTTACAACAAGGTAAAAAAAAAAAAAAAAGGACAACCATAAAGTAGACAATGCACAAATTGCCTGCATGAAAAGCTCATTTTTTTTTCTTTTTCTTCTTCTTTACCTAGATTAGTGCTTACTTGTTACTTGCACATAACTGCACTTGCCATTATTTTATAACAGCTTGCTGCCACATTATGTTGAAACACCAGTTCTCATACGATCACCAGTTAAGTAATGTTGAGCCTGGTTAGTACAGAGGTGGGTGACCACTTGGGAATACCAGGTTCTGTAAGCTTGGATGTGAGAGTTGTGTAATGGATAACATCTCAGAATTGGAAATTGGAGAGCAGAGTTCCAATTCCAATTGGGTTCATTATATTCATTTATGCACAAATATTCTTGGGAAAGGTATGGACCCACCTCTTCTCACCCCAGCTATGAGTTAATTAGTAGGACATATCAGTAAGATCATTATCTCCAAAAATATTATTACAATCTAAAAATATTTTCTGACTATAAATAACCTTCAAAAGGTTGATAAGCCATGAAAAATAAACCAACCAACCAACCAATCAATCAATCAAGGCTCTATCTTTGGACCTGTGCTGTTCCTAATTTTCATAAATGATCTTCTTGATGTCATCAGTTCTCAGTTCAGTATCTATGTTGATGATACAACTCTGATCAATTCGATGAAGTCAAATTTGCAGTTGATCTAAAAAAAAATAACCTACAATCTATTGTTAACTAGAGCAAGAAATAGCATGTTAATTTTAATGCCTCCAAAATGAAACTGCCCTTTTTATCTTCTATCAGCATGGCTGATGCTAACCTCTCGGAGTGTGGCTTGTTGTGCCTTCCTTGGCTAATATTTACCCCCGACATGTAGTGGAAAGCTTATATTGAATCACTTGCAAAGACTGCAACTAGGAAAGTTGATTCACTGTGTTGTGTGAGACAGTTTTTCTCACCAGAATCTATCTTACACATTTATAAGTCTACCATTCTTAGATGTTTTGAATATTACTGCTACATATGGTCTGCTGCTCTTGCTATATATTTAGGGATTCTTAATAAACTCCAAAGAAGAATCTGCAATGTTATTTGTCCTAACTTGGCATTTCAACTTCAGTCACTTCCCTCCACTGTAACATAGTTTCCCTGAGCCTTTTCTATAAATACTGTAATTGTTCTGATGAACTCTATTGTACCTAGGGTTTATGAATTTAAGCATAGTACAAGATTGGCAGCAAGGTTTCAATCATTTTACATTTGAAATGGTAAGATGTAACCATTATCTTTATACTAAAAGTTACTTCTCTCACACTTCTTGTTTGTGGAACTTTCTTCCGGCTTCTTGCTTTCCAGTCAATTTTGATCTTCAAAAATTTAAATGCAATGTCAATCATTATCTTCCGTCGTCTTGATTCTTATTCTTTTATTGTCCTATTGCCTTAATAGTAATTTTTCTCATGATCTATAACACTCTGTAATCCATTGCATCTTAGTGGTTTTATTGCCTTGCTTGGGGTGAAATGATTTTTTAAAAAAATGAAACTAGATTGATAACAAAATAACTCTTTGAAAAATAACTCTTTGAAAAATAACTTGTTTCTTTACAGATGAATTTGTGTAAAGATAAAAAATCTTCAAATTAGATTTTCATCTTAGCAAACATGATCATTATAAGTAATATTATGCAATTCAAATCTACATTTGTAGAAGAAATAAATTCATATATAAATATGGTCAGTTATTTTGTAATGCATATTCATAGATTATTTTGATGTAAAACTAACTGCTGATTAAATTTTAACTTTTTTTGATAATAGCACTGTTGCCATATATGGTCTGGTGCCCCCGTTGTTTAGATATGCAATATGATAGGTCCTGATCTGGCATCTTGTCTATATTCACTCTCTCACAGACATGATGTGGCTTCCCTCTGTCTTTTCTACAAATATTTTCATGGCAACTGCTCTGACAAGCTATTTTCGCTGGTACCCCAACTGCATGAATTTAAGCATCTTGGTCCCACCCTTTCACTGTCAAAACAGTTAAATGTAACTGCCTCTTCTACTCCAACAGCTTCTTCTCTCTCATTTCCCAACAGTGAAACACTTTCCTTCTACTTGCTTCCCTGACAGCTATAATCTTCAAATATTCAAATGTAATGTTAATTGACCTCTTCTGATTCGTTGATCCTGTTCCCCATCCTTTTCTATATCCTTTTCTCAAACTAACCTCTTTACTCTTGCTTTCACTCTCTGTAACCCCTTGTGTGCTAGTGGCACTCCTGCTTTGCTTGGGGTGAAATGCTTTAAAAAAAAAAAAAAATAGCAGCATATCCAAATTGGTGTCTGATGCTGTTGACTTAATCTCTTGCCTATAATTTATTTGTTGGTTCAAATTCATCTGACAAAACCTATTCAGCATATATAATATACACAGAAGATTAGAAATATATATATACCAGTACCTAAGAAATTATTACTCTGTATTTATTTGTTTTTTAATCTTATGTTCAGGTTTTCCTTATCAATATTAATAAGAATTAATCTTCTCTTTTCAGGGCCAGAATTTTAAGCACTTTCTTGCTGATATTTGTTGTTGTGATGTCTTGGAGGAATTGGGATCGCTTCCTCCAACTTTTCGACTACTTTGTGGCAGAATATAACCGCCTCCTATCCAAGCGATAGCATCTGTGGTAGCTAAGTGAGATAATTTACCAATGACTTCCATGGTCTTCAGGAGTGCTGCCTGTGTCGGGAAGGACAATGGTCGCGATGGCCGAAGCCAGACAGCAACGCACAGCGACACAAGCTCGTTGACAACGAATTCAGCGTGGACCACGTGGCTGTGAAGAAGTGAATATGGAGGCAGATAAAAGGCTGAATGTTTTGTTAGAAACGTCTGTCAGACTATTAACTAATGCATCTGAAAAACACTTGCACTTACATCACAGAAACAAGCATTGATTATAAAGCTAAACAAACTTGGGGGTTTGGGTTACATATACATTACAATGGAGCAACATAGTAAAAGAAACAACATCTATTAAACGAATTCTGGATAACAGTCCCTGGTGATTTATCCTGAGTTTCATTACTCTTACTATCTTCCTTGACTATTTTTGAAGGTGCGAAATCCATTATAGAAAAAAAAAAGAAAAGAAAGAAAAAGTATGCTATCATCAGTGAGCGATGTCCTCTCCCTGCCCCATCAGACACCTTATTGCACTGTTGTCCTGGAGTCATTGTTGGATATGATTATAATGATGCCCCGTTTTTAGGGGTACACATTTCGGTGGGGGGGGAACATATACACACACACACACACACACAAACAAACAAACAAACAAAATGGACTGTTATGAAAGAAAGAAGAAAAATGAATGTAAATGTGTGCATATTGATACATATGTATGTGTGTGTATGTGTAAATATATATGCATATATGTGCTTGAATGTGCATTTGTATGTATGCTGCATAAACACACACACACAAACATAACATTTTGTTCATGTGCACACTAGACTCTATAGTGATTACATTGGGAAATAATTTCCATTCTGTGACAAAACTTGTCTGTTGGTTTGCTCTACCAAAGAGAGGATTATTTATGATATAAAAATGGCAAATGAAAAAAAAATTTTAAAATTCAGAACAATTAAGTCACGTAGAATCGATTGATTGTATTTTCATCTGGTCTGTTTTGTTTTTTCTTCTTCTTCCATTATTATTATTATTACTACTATTACTATTATTGTTATCTTTTTATTTTTTCCCATATATTTCTTCAAATTCCTCATTCTTCCTTTAGTGAATCCATGTTTTCTCATTTCATTATAATTTTAAGTTGACTAATTACTTTTTCTGTTTTCCTCAATACTAAAGTTATAGTTTTAAATATTCAACTATCTGAACCAAAATTCCTTTTCCCTGATACCGAAAACCCATACCTTAATAAATTAAGATTTAAAAAAAAAAAATTCTCAACCTTACCTTCCTAATTACCTACCTATCTACCTCCTTATCTTTATATTTTCTCATAAAATTTCATATTACGTTGTTTATTAGTTTTATTTTTGTTTCAATTTTAGGAGAATAATTTTTTTCACATTTTTTTCTTAGAAAGTACAAAAGAATCACAAAGAATAAAAACAAAAAAAATGCCTAATTATTTCTTTTTTTTTTTTTTTTTTTTTTTTTTTTTTTTTTTTGTTTATTTTTTATTTTTATTTTGAAGTCATGATTTGTCTATCTCCACACTATATTTTCACCCATTATATGATTAGCTCCCAATATCTTGTTGTCTTGTCAAAAAAAAAAAAAAAAAAAAATATTAATAAATAAAAAATTGACTTTCTCTGTGAGTGGGTAGATAGGAAATCCACATCTGCTGGCTTGATTAATACAGGGTAAAATCTTTCTGTATTCCTTTGTCACCAAACTAAACATTTTGGTATAACTAATTAAAGCAACAAAAAATATTAATCCTCAACTTTATATTTTGCAACAAATATATCATATAAAATAACAAACTCTCATAGTTTAGTTGTAGCATCAGTGCATATTTAAAAAGAAAAAAAGAAAGAAAAAAAAAATGGTCATCATTAACCTTCTCTCCAAACAAAAATATATTCCTATATATATATATATATATATATATATATATATATATATATATATAGTAAGGATTCTGCTATCATTTTGACAGTATTGAAATATTTTTTATCCTGTCTGAAATTTATCAAAAATTCCTGGCCTGTTAATTTTTTTATTTTTTTTTTTAAATATTAAGCAAAAAAGCCAAGAGAGTTTATATCAATTTATGTTTTTCATTTTATTTATCCCCCTGAATGCTGAGCAAGGAGTGGGTGGGATTCTTACTCAAGACCACTAACCAGGAACTCATCTTCTGCAATAATTTTGTTAAACTTTTCGTGAGAATCTGTTTATAAGAGCATTCATCATATTTCATGTTGAATGTTCAATGCAAACATTTCGGTAATTACTTCACGTACCCGCTTTACTTTTTTGGTTTAATAATAAGTTGAGAAAATAAAATAAATAAGTATTCAGAGGGTTAAATATCATAGTGAAACTTGTCAGCATTCAAAGAAGTTGACTTCTTTCTTTAAGCTCTCCCTTGCAGCATTCACTTCCATCCAGCTATGTATGTATCTATGTATGCCTACATTTGTATATAAGATATCTGTTATTACCATTTCTCTCACTGATCCTATTCTTTCTTCTCCTTAACTGAACTTGACTTTGTCCATAAAAGGCACAAGGAATTTTTCATTAGTTGCCTACATTTATACTCTGGTTTGGAGAAAAGAGGAGAAAGAACAGCAGTGGTGGCTGAAAATAAAAAAAAAAAAAAAAAAAAAAAAAAAAACATGATGCACATGCATGTGTGTTTGTGTGTATAGTATGAATGCTTTTCCTTTTTTTTTTTTAGTATCATGAGGATGCAAGTATATTGTTCCAAACCATTGACTATCTAGATAAATTTGAGTCTAGGACTACCCCTTCCACCCAACAAAAAATATGTTGCTGCATTCTTCCTGTAAACCAATGTTATGGCTACAAACATACATAGCTTGGAGATATGTTACATATATATATATATATATATATATATATATATATATACACACACACTCATCTAGTTTGCATGTGTGATAAATCTGTGTCGATGAATAAAATATAGCTTATACTTGAGAGAAAGCCACTTTTATTCCCTCCCCATTCCAATTCTATGAGTTTTCAAGAAGGAATTTTGCTTCACAAAAAAAAAAGAGAAAACAAAGAGAGAGAGAGAAATAATTGAACTTGAGGAAAAAGATAACGGGGGGGGAATTGAGAAAAATGAGAAGACTCTAAAACGGGGAAATGAAGAGTTTAAAAAAACAGTGGGGAATAATAAAAATATATATACATATATATACACTCTTGGGTGGTTTCTTCTTTGGTTTTTAATATCCAAAAGAAAAAAAAAAAAGATCCATTGTTCTATTTTGGGGATATTGGTGTTATCACCAACCTGTTCATTCCTTGTTTTTTTTTTGTTTTGGTTTTTTTTTTTTTTTTTTCTTAGTTTTTTTTTTTTTTTAATCAGTTTTTGGTTGGTGGAAATTTCTTCATTAAATGGTTATTATTATTATTATTATTATTATTATTATTATTATTTTTTGTAAGGAAACATAAATTCAACAAGGTTTAATCAATGGCAAACAGGAACTTGAGAAACAGTTCGCCAGTTTTAGTGCTACCTCATCTTTTTTTTTTGTCTAGTCATTCATTATTTCTCTGTAGATGCTTAGTGTCTGATGACAATCCTTTCTCAATAATTACTAATGTATTCATTTGAGTTATTCTGTTTTTTTTTTGTTTTTTTTAGTACTTTAAATTGATCTATATTTCTATGTTACAAAATTTGGTTCAACTTTATACATCCAAAGAAGCAACTTATTTCACCTAATGCACATATAAAAAAAATATCTATCAAAAATATTTTAAAACTGGAACTGTTCAAGAGTTAAAAAAAAAAAAAAATTACTAAACTTGTTTCTCTTTAAAAATACTCAGTGAAATGCATTTCTCTCTTCTAACTGCTGCTATTATCACTGTTATATCAACTACAACTAACATTTTTATACAAAGATCAAATCCTGCCTCTCATTCCTATTAAAAGGTTTGTTTTCTGTTGCTTCTAAAATATCAATTACAAAATAATATCCCTGATTAGATCAAGTAGAATTAGTTACTCTGAGAATGAAAAATCCCTGTATATGCACTCCTGCAAACGTTAGCATAAAGTTGAACTGTTTCCATATCATGTTAGCTAAAAGAAAAATAGCTTTTCAGATCCTCAAATCCATCCTGTATAATTTACTTGCCATAAAATAATCTTGCAAAATCACAACTTCATCGTTTTTTTTTATTTTTTAATGCCACATTTGGAGATAGAGTATATTTCTATGAAATAGATTTCTGTATTATTATGATCTTGCATATTTTACAAGTACTGCAATGTGCTGGCTACATATTTTTAAGAAAATATACATAATAGAACAGAATTTTTGTGCCTGGACAAAAAAATAAATCAATGTATAAAGCTATATTTATGAAACACTAATGCATTACTTGTTTATATTATCAGTAAGCTTACCTGGCATTGCCTGGATTAAATAGCTTTTCAGATCATTTTGTCCTACCTACCTTGACTACTGCATATAAATATAGAAATGCCATGGTGCTTGTCTGAGTTAGAGATGAAATTAAGTCCGTATCTATTCTGATATTCTGAAAAAAAATTAAAATTATCAAACTGATATTCTGTTGTTCCTGTACTCCTAAATATAAATGAAAATATATGCCTTGATTTAAGTATAAAACTCTAAGGTCTATACTCAAATGGCGTTAAAATCTGTTAACTTGATTGCCATTTTTCACTATAAGTGGTAAAAAAATGGCTGCTTTGATGAATGCTGCAATTACTTGTCATGATTTTGAAAAAAGAATTATTAAAAAGCAAGAAATGTATTTTTTGGCAGAAGCTCCCATTTCCATTTCTCGAAAAAAACAAAAAAAAAATTAAGCAAAAATAGAGAAAGATATAAATTTGAAATGTTGTATTTTGTCATCCCAACAAGTTTTTTTTTCTCTTAATGTTTATAAAGTTTTTACT